CAAATTTTCCTCATCTCTATTTCTTTCTAGCTGGGTTGAGGAGGATGGGGCCATTAAAGACGATTCAAACAAAGAAAACGACAAGTGCGATCTTGCTAAAGCTAATTCTCACTCTCTTCAGCCCTGTCTTCTTAAATCCGATCTCTTGGGCCATGGGAACTTACCTGTGGAACTGACCAATATGATTGACTCCTTTGAGACAGAACAACTGCGTTTTGTGATGGACCTAAAGCGGATGCATTTTCCCTATTCCCAAGTAGGTTCGCTTTTATTTATCTACAGATGTGTATAAAATTTGCCCGAATATACACTACTTCTATATTGTCTCAACAAACATCTAAATATTTCCTCTAAATAATTCTTTTGCCAACTCTTGTGTTAATTATTATATCAAGGACACCTTTCGTGCAATTTCGCTAAGTTATCCACGGTAGGTTTAATTTTTGTTGTAACCATACAGTCCTTGTATATTGTTTTTATTTTATACTCTATTCTGATCTGAATGAAGGTATCAACATCTTTTCTTAAATTGTTATTACACTATTAAAATTAGTTTGATGTATTATGTGCCTGTATAGTAGCCACCTGATAAAGATGGTAACCTAAATCTTATTAGGAGGAATTTTGCTTTTGAATTATTATTTTCGTTGCTCACAAATTTAATAAAATCTGCGATATCATTATTGATAACTATTTTTGCTCTTTATTAGGTGCCGATTGTCATGAAGGATATTGAAAATATAGTGTCTTCAATCATTTCAGAAATCAAGTCAATTCTTTCAGTAGACTTACCACAAGCTTTGCGGCGTCTAAATCCTCATAGATTAAGTGATACGTCCAAGACCGTCCCTGCACCACCCGACTTTGTCCCATTTGAAGGTGAGGATACCTCAGCCACAGTACAGATATGCGACATGGCGAGCCTGACTGGTGGATTAATTCAGTTGGTACCGATTATAATGCAGCTTTTCACACATCTGGTCCCTAGTCTTCATTCTCAAGAGCTTTCTGATTCTATACGATTATCTGGTTAGTTGTTTGCTGCTTACACCTTTTTATTGGACATATAGCCAATAGATGTACTGAATTATTATCATTTCAGGCCAACTATCGTGTTGCTTTTAGTTTAATATCTTTACTTTTTCTGGTTTGGAACTTTTTCCTTTTTTTGCCCAACAGAATTAGAACTTTAAATGGGAACAAAGTTTCCCGGCTCAATTTTAGATTTCGACTTATTCTTTTTTTCACACGAAAATGTTGTGCCTATAAATTGAATCTCTATTTATTTTCCTTTTATTAATTATTACCACATAAAAAATAAAAAAAATACCCATTCTCGCCTCAGTTGGTGAGGGATTTCTCATATGCTTCATCGCCGCCGTTGTAAAATCGGTGGATTGAGGAGAAACGAGTCAGCCATCGTCTTATGGTATTATCGAATTATGAATCTCTTCAAACACTTTCACGCCAATTCAAATTCATGACGAGAGTTAGTTTGGCCTATGGGTCATTGTTTTCATTCAGTTGAACTCGTATTGAAATAGATTTTGTTACGTAACCTCATAGTAACTAGAAGTCATAGAAAAAATCAACTAGCTGCAGTTATGCTATCCTCTCAATCCAAATTTTGATCTTATCAGATTTTTTATTATCTCATTT